TTCTAGAGTGAAAACACACACACACACACATTATTCAAATTAGCAATAACATAGATGAGGCAAAACAAGCCTTGGAAAACCTGAGTCATAACGGGGATCTAAAAATACTGATTTGCCACACTTAAATAAAAGTTGTGCTTCAAGCTTTACTTATGTTCCAAGGTATATTTTATACAATACCAAACAGTGGTCAAGCAATTGACTATGCAATTTATCAACAGTATGTGTGTGTCCCCCTCTTGTGTCTGGCTTTAGCAATTACTACAGCTCACTATTTAGGCAGCGCTCAAGTCATTGCTTGTTTTAGCTGCAGTGGAGGAAGCGTTGGCTGTTGGTGGTGAAATTCCCTACTGGCAGTTGCAAAGCATGTGTGTGTTTATGCAGGCCCAGTTTGTGTGATGTGAATGGGTTGGAAATTTGTTACACAGACTGAGGGTGCCACATTCACACACACAAATGGCTGCTATCATTTCCACGCACACACACATGGCTGGCACCATTCCCACACCCGTTCCCCAGAAGGGGCAGACACATTCTGTCCTAACATCCTGACAAAGTGATCCTAGGGCGTTGCACCTGGTTGTGACATTGTGATCCTGGGGTACGCCCGGCTCCCCACAAGCTCTTTGTACTTCCCTGGATTAGGGGCCAGGCTGGTACGAGGCAGGACACTGGAGACAATATGCAGAACTCAAGTTGGGCTCATGAAGAAAACACCACCAGAGAGACTGAGTCACTTGTGGCAGGTCTATAGAGAAAATAAACTCTGGGTGGGGTCTCGGGATCCGAGGAGTTACATCTCAGACATTCCCTGGTACAAAACTCCCACTGACCCTACAAGGCCTAGCGAGATTTGAATTCACAACTGTAAGCAGAGTCAGGATGAGCTCTACCCTGACATCTGGTGGTGAATTATGGCGAGTGTGGAAAAGAACCTTGGGCTGATCCCGTTTGCATAGGCACACCCACACACCTAGCATAAGCCCACAGCAACTGAAAGTGGTTACTTTGGCTGGTGTGGGAGCCCCAGTTTCTCTGTTATTGGGGCAGGAAGAATAAAATGTTGTTACACTGATTATGTGAATCAAGGCCAGTGGAACTGTTGTATGACAGAGGGACTCACCATTAACTAAGTAGCACTCACTAGACAAGGGGCATGGGTTTCAAAACCCAGTGAATTGAGAGAGGTTGGGGGCAGGTATTTGTACCTGGTGGTGTGGGCCCCTTTTGTGAGCCTGAAACACCAATTGCACTGTCTCCTCTCTTCAATGTTGAATGTTAAAGCTAACTTTGATTCCATTAGGAGTTTAGTTACAGGCTGCTGAGCTGAATTTACTTTGGGCCAATGGAGCACCAGCAGTGGGGCTCCCCTACTACTAGCTAAAATCACTAAGAGCTGAAATCAAAAAAGAGCTATAGCACTGAGATTACTGAGTGCTGTATGAACTAGTGGGGGAGCCTGAAGCTATATTGCTAAGCGGCTGGCAGAGCAGTTTGTGGGGACGGCTGGAGGAGCGGCTAGCAGAATGGAGCCTTGTGGGGACAGTTGGAGCGGCCCAAGGAACGGCGAGTGGAGTGGAGCGGAGCCGTTTGCGGGGACAGCTGAAGAGGCTCACGGGACGGTGAGCGGAGCAGTTCGTGGGACAGCAGGAGCGGCTCACGGGATGGCTGGTGGAAGTGGACTGGTTCGTGGTGAAGGCTGCGGCGGAACCCCACGGAGAGGCGGCTGGTCAGCCTCAGATCACGTAAGCTGCCCCTTAACCCCCTTTCATGCCTCCCTTTGAACTTTGGGGCTGCACTGACCAGGGACAGAGACTTTGGGGGTTGTTGGACTTTTGGGACTTTGGGTGATTCTTGGGTTGCTGGTTTCAAGAACCAATGGGAAAGGACATGGCCCAATTTGCTGGGGTGGGTCTTTGCTCATGGTTTGGTCTATGAACTCTAGTTGTGGTGTTTTCCCAATTTAATGCTATGTCATTTACCTCATGTTATTAAACATTTTCTGCTACACCAAGACTCTGTGCTTGTGAGAGGGGAAGTATTGCCTCTTCAAGGCGCCCAGGGGTGTGTGTAAGATTTTCCCAGGTCACTGGGTGGGGACTCGAGCTGGTTTTGTGTTACGCTGTTGGGAGGGGACCCCTATGTACTGAACCCAGACCTTGCTGCTATCAACTCGGCCTGGCAGAAGGGTTACACAACATTCAACGCTCAGTTTACAAAGGCAGGATGCTAAATCCTGAGTTATGGAGCCGGCTGGGCGTGATGCGGCTCACGTGGGGTGACACTGGCACTGTCTCCAGCCAGCTGCTGTCTGTAGAATTAGCTCTCAAAGAGTGACAGATGGAGATTGATACTTGGTGATATTTTGCAGTGATTTCCCCTGGACTCCCAGCCAGGGCTTTCTGTGGCAAACACCCCAGTCTGGGTTGGGTTGGAATGCCAGTTGGTTTGCCCATGGGCTTGTGGCAAAGTCCGGGGAGCTGCTAGATGCACACATCACTCCCGGGGGTTCTGTGGAAGGCAGCTGTCTTCAGATGCACACAGACTCTACATCACCCTCTCCAGGTGAAATCCTCCAGTAGCAAGGCACTGTAGTTTCCCTTTCTGTGGCTAGACAAGTTTAACCCCAGGTGGGGGTAGTGGGCTGACCGTGACGAGCTACATGGAGGTAAAAACTACTTGGGTTTCATCGCCTGTAGGATTGCAGATCTGGTTTGGCTTTGTTTTCCCCCAGTGAGGAGTCACAAGCTGTGTGTTGCTTTTCTCTGCCTTGTGATGAGGTTGGGTGTCCAGGGATGTCTAGGGGCTCAAAGGTAGATAGAAAAACCCACAAAAACAGACACACACTGTCTGATTCACATACATGAACAGCCATTCTGCACAAGCATACAGAGTACATCTTTCACACACTCACACTAACCTCAGCATTCCGCACACACAGTGCGCCTTTCACACACGCACAGTCAACGTTGTACAAATAAAGTGGTCAGCTTAAACATGTTGCCAATTTCCTTAGATGCCTAGCTCATCCAATGTCTGTATTTGCAGCATTCCCTAAAGGTGTTGTGTATGTGTATGGTTTTAGTGTATCTGTGTGTGTGTCTGCATGATATTAGTGTATCTGTGTGTGATATTGGTGTTTGTGTGTGTGTGTGATATTAGTGTATCTGTGTGTGACTGGGTGTGCAATATTAGTGTGTCTGTGTGTGTGATATTACTGTGTGTGTGTGTCTGTGTGTGATATTACTGTTTGTGTGTGTGTGATATTAGTGTTTGTGTGATATTAGTATATGTGTGTGTGAGTGTGTGACATTAGTGTATGTATGAGCGTTGGGATGTTAGTGTGTGTCCTTCCCGGCAGCTCAGGACCATGCAGACAAATAAGGAAAGGTCCTGGCATGACATTGGCATCACAGCATTCATGTCTGTCTATCTACCCATCCCCAGACACATCGGTCTAACAATCTATCATTGTACCCACCATTCTAAATATCTATCCACCCCAGACACATCAACCTATCAGTCCACCACCAAACATTCCACTCACTCTAACTATCCATCCCTGGACCCATCAACCTATAAATCGATCACAATATCCTCCACTCTCAGTGGAGGGGACAGAGCAGGGTTAGAGCAAGCAGCAGGGTCCCCCTCTTGCCTTCCACACCCTGCCTGGGTCCTAAATGTGCCTCACAAATTTCACAGGGAGTCCATTCAAGCAGGCGAGGACAATCTTGTTTTTGCCATTGAGTCCGTTGAAAGAGAAGGTCCCGAATCCATACATATACACATCAACCTGCCTAACTCCATTCCTACCACTCTATCTGTCTGTCCATTCCCACACACATCAACTTATCAGTCTGTCACCATGCCCCCCCCCACTCAATCTATTTTTCCTTGAAAACATCTGTTTGCGAGAAGCTGGGAATGGGAGACAGGGGATGGATCACTTGATGATTACCCGTTCTGTTCATTCCCTCTGGGGCACCTGGCATTGGCCACTGTTGGAAGACAGGATACGGGCTAGATGGACCTTTGAGCTGACCCAGTATGGCCGTTCTTATGTTCTTATGTTCTTATTGTGCAGTGGGAATCAAAAAAGTTAACATAATGTTAGGAAACTTTAGGGCAGTGGCTCTCAACCTTTCCAGACTACTGTATCCCTTTCATGAGTCTGATTTGTCTTGCATAG